CCCCAGCTCTGTGCAGGCAGTGGGGGTCTAGTGGTTAGAGCAGGGGGGCTGGGAGCCAGGACTCCTGGGTTCTAGCCCAGCTCTGGGAGGGGAACGGGGTCTAGAGCTCAGCAGTGTGCAGGAGGCAAATGCCCGTGGATGCAGCTGCGCCCCCCCCCCCGCCTGGCTGTTGTGGGGGCCCCCGGTGGTGACCCCAGGTAGCCCAGGCTGAGAGCCCAAAGGGGCGGAGATCGGGCAATAGGAAAGCAGACCTAGGTATCATCATTTCCCCACCCAACATCCTGTCCCCTGAACCCCCTGCCCAATCAGACACGCGGTGCCCTGGCAACAGCCACCGCAAGCCGAATGGCAACCGCTGTGATGGGACAAACACAGATGGGTGGGTGGGGTGTTGGGGTTTGGTGGTTTCCTGTGCTGGGGTGTCGCGTGGTGTGCGTGTGGGTGACCAAAGGCCCATGAGTCACACAGCCCCCAGCAGCCCCACCCTCTCCTGGCTGTATTCATGCAGCTGTACCAGGACCCTGCTCATGCATCTGCCTCCCCAGCTGTGCACCCCACTCGGCAACCCAGATGTACATCCCCCCCGCCATGCACCCAGCTGTGCACCCCAGTGCACCCAGCTCCCCAGCTGTGCACCCCATCCGCCAATGCACCCAGCAGTGCACCCCACTCCCCAACGCACTCGGCAACCCAGCTGTGCACCCCACTCCCCAATGCACTCGGCAACCCAGCTGTGCACCCCACTTCCCAATGCACTCGGCAACCCAGCTGTGCATCCCCGCCCCCATGCACCGGGCTCCCCCAGCTATTCACGTGCCACAATGCGCCCAGCCCCCCCGCCCTGCACCTGCCTCCCTCCCCCCCCCCCCCCCCCCCCCCGCCCCCCCCCCCCCCATCCGTGCACCCTGCTTCCCAATGCACCCGCCCCCACAGCTACCTATGCACATGCCCCAATGCATCCAACGCCCCAGCTGTGCACGTGCCCCAATGCATCCAACGCCCAGCCCTCCATCCACTTCCCAGTCTCAGCACACAACTCCCATCCCGACTCCCGCCACAGAAAAGGGAAGGAGGAACCGCGCATGCGCGGGGCGCCCGCTGGAGGACGGGGGCAGCCGAAAGGGGCGGGGTTTGCGCACGGGGCGAGGCCTCGGTGGAGGGTGGGGGAAGGAAGAAGGGAGCTGTTGGGATAGCGCATGCGCAATGTCGGCCTGGCCCTGCTCAGAGTGGTGATTCAGGAGCCTGGCGGAGGGAGTGGCTCCAGGCTCCGCCCCCTGGCCTGGCCTCCTGGTGAGACCCCATCACCCCCCAGGGCAGGATATGGGGCCTTGGTGTGACCTGACAGGGCCTTCGTGTGAGCTGACAGGGCCTTGGCGTGACGGGGCCTTGGTGTGAGCTGCCGGTGCCTTGGCATGACCAGCCGGGGCCTTGGCGTGAGCTGCCGGGGCCTTGGCATGACCTGACGTGGTCTTGGCGTGAGCTGCCGGGGCCTTGGCGTGACCTGACGTGGCCTTGGCGTGAGCTGCCGGGGCCTTGGCGTGACGGGGCCTTGGTGTGACCTGACGTGGCCTTGGCATGAGCTGTCGGGGCCTTGGCATGACCGGCCGGGGCCTTGGCGTGATGGGGCCTTGGTGTGACAGGACCTTAGTGTGACGGGGTCTTGGTGTGACTGGACAGGGTCTTGGCATGACAGTGCCTTGACGAGACGGGGTGACTGGGGCCTTGGCATGACCTGCTGGGACCTTGGTATGATTGGACGGGACCTTGGTGTGACTGGACGGGGCCTTGGCGTGATGGCATGATCTGCCGGGTCCTTGGTGTGACAGGTCTTTGGAGTGATGTGGCCTCGGTGTGACCTGTCAGGACCGTGGTGTAGTGGGGCCATGGTGTGACTTGATGGGGCCTTGGCATGACGGGGCCTTGGCTTGCCATGGCCTGCTGTAACTGGGGCGTGGCGGGAGCTTCTGGGGCCGTGGTGAGATGGGACAGTGTCTTGGTGTGACCTGATGTGTCTTTGGGGTAGGGCCTTGGCATGACATGATGGTATGTTGGCATGACAGGAGGGGGCGGACAGGGGACTGAGTCTTAGCGCGACCTGAGGGCACCCAGGTGAAATGAAACAACCCCGAGCAGCAATGGCGCCCCCCTGTGGTTGTGACAGAGCAGCCATCCCATCCGGACACAGAGCCGCTGGGGAAGGGGGCAGTGTCACGTGTCCTCCCTCACCCTGTAGCCTCCAGCTCCACAGCCCCTCGGCTCCTCCCCCACATCCTGGCATCCCGCACCCCAGCAGGCCCCCACCCCAACCTGCCATCCCCGGTTCAGGCACCTGGCGGCTCCCTGGTTCGGAAATAAATGCCTCCCTGTTAACCCAGCCATCGCACCCCCTCTAACCACTAGGCCCCACTCCCCTCCCAGAGCCGGGATAGAACCCAGGAGTCCTGGCTCCCAGTCCCCCGCAGTGTAGACATTCTGCATGGCTGGGGGCAGGAGGGATGGAGGTGTGTTTGTGATTGGGGTGGGGAGGGGGGATGGGTGTGGGGTGGAGTGGGGGAAAGGGAGGTGTGGGGTTGGTGAGGGGAATAAAGGGGATTTTCCAGCATGGATCTCCTGTTCCCCCTAATCTGACACGTCCCCCTTTTCTCCCACCCCCAGGGCTCCGTCCTCTCCCCCCATTGGTTGAGGTATTTCTGCTTCCTGGAGACGGTTGCTAACAACTCGGGTGGTGTGGGTGTGGGGGGCGGCGATGCTGGCAGGCGAGGAGAGGCCAGGCGTGATCCCCGCACCTCCCTGTGCCTGTCACGGGCTGGGCTCCCCCCGAGCCCACTGACCATCCCCCCCCGGACTGGCTGCCGGAGAGTGAGGTAAATCCCGGCACCCAGGGGTGGGGGGTACTGGGGCTAGGAAGGAAATCGGATCCCAGATCTCCCCCCCACCCTAAACCTTCCCCCCAAACTCTCCCCTGAGCCTCCAAACCTTGTACCCAACTCACCACTGACCCCCCAGAACCTTCCCCCAACTCACCACCGACCCCTGAACTTTCCCCCTAAACTCTCCCCTGAGCCTCCCAAACCTTCCCCCCAAACTCACCCCAATCCCTGAACCTTCCCCCCAAATTCACCACTGACCCCCTGAACCCCCCCAAATTCCCACTTAGCCCCTGAACCTTCCCCCCAAACTCTCCCCTGAGCCCCCAAACCTTCCCCCCAAACTCACCCCAACCCCTGAACTTTCCCCCGAGCCCCCCGAACCTTTCCCCCAAACTCACCCCAACCCCCTGAACCTTCCCCCCAAATTCACCACTGACCCCCCTGAACCCAGGGGGGGAGGGATAGCTCAGTGGTTTGAGCATTGGCCTGCTAAACCCAGGGTTGTGAGCTCAATCCTTGAGGGGGCCACTTAGGGATCTGGGGCAAAATCAGAACTTGAGGGGTTCTCTCATGGATTCGTAACTGGTTAAAAGATAGGAAACAAGGGGTAGGAATAAATGGTCCTGCTAGTGAAGGCAGGGAGCTGGATTTGATGACATTTCAGGGTCCCTTCCAGTTCTATAGGTATATCTCCATATATTTATTATAACCCCCCCAAATTCCCACTTACCCCCTGAACCTTCCCCCCAAACTCTCCCCTGAGCCCCCAAACCTTCCCCTGACCCTTCCCCCCCAAATTCACCTCTGACCCCTGAATCTTTCTTCCACTCCCCCCGATTCTCCGAACCTTCCCCCAAACTCGCCTTGACCACCTGAACCTGCCCCCAGCCACAGAACCACCTGATCCTTTGCTCCCAAATGACCCCACTCCAAACTCCACAGCTCCCAGAACCTTCCCCCCCAATCCCACTCCACCCTCCAACTCCTTAAACCCTCCTAGCCCCTATGCACCAGCCCCACGCCTTCCCCAACCCCTCCAAGGCTTGTGATGCCCCACCCCAGAATCAGCCACATGCCTGACAGCGCGAGGCCTGCCCCAGAGCCTCGGAGGTTGCCCCCTCTCCTGATGCCCCAGTGCTGGGCTGGGCACCCCCGGCGTGCCCCCAGTGTCCAGCCGCGGCCCCTGCACCCCTGTCTGTCTCTGGGCCGTGACAGCCGGGGTCCAGTTAAAAGCCCTCTCTCTCTCTCTCCCCACTCTCTTTCTTGGCCACCTGTCTGCGAGGAGGAGGAGGAGAAGATGCCGCTGCACCGATCTGCCTCAAGTACCCGCTCGGAGGGCAGCGACCTGGACCTGGAGGGCATCGGTAATGGCTCTGCCCCAGGGCATTGTGGGAAGGCTAGGGATTGGCGTCTCCTGGCTGCCACCA